TCTCACTTCAGTTGCTATATTTCAGAAATGTCAGGTGTGTCTCCCATTTTCTTCTATGTTGGTGACTTCTGTATTTTTTCTGGGTGAGCTGGACATGTGAGATTGCATTTTGCTTCTTTACTACAAGCTCTTCTTGTCTTGATGGTTTGTGTTAAGAAGTCTGCCATGATTCTGATGGGCTTTTCTGTTATGGGTGATTTTTTTTTCTCTAAGAGCTTTTAGTATTCTGTCCTTGTGCTGAACTTCTGGGATCTTGACTATTATATTTCTGGATGTAGATTTATTTTGGTTTTGACTAATTGTATTCTATATGCCTCTCTTATCTGTTTGTCAGATTCTCGTCCCATGCTTGGGAAATTTTCTGCTATCACTTTGGCAAATAGCCTTTTCACGTCATTCGTGTTGACTCCTGTTTTTTCATTGACATCTATTAGTCTTATATTGTTTTCTTTGCATCATGTTGCAGCTGTTGAATTGTTATCTTCTGGTTCCCTGTTATTCTTAAGAGATCTTCTCTTTCATGATCACTAGCTGCAATCCTGCCTCAAAGCCTTAGAGTCTGTCTTCAGTTTTGTTCACACAGTTTTGTCAGTTTTCAATGGAATTTTCGACTTCCTGAATATTCTCTTTGAATCTGTTTTGTGCTGTTGGTGTAGCACTGGGGGGAGGGGGAATGCACAGCTTCTCCATATTGTTACACAAAGGTGATAACTGATTAAAACATACATGACATATTAGCTATGGTAGTACAATTAGCAATAACGACAGCATCAAGCACAGTTTAGAAATTAACAAACTGTGGCAATTATTGATTTTATACTTTAGACTATAGGAGCAAAGTCTATGGTTGTATGACAGAACCAGTTGTAAATTAGGTGTTTGTGTTCAAAGTGTTTCCCCTTGTAAGAGTGGATTGATGCTGGGTTCCTCCAGATGCGCTGGCTGCCAAATCCTGGGTGCTGCCCATACTGGCTGCCCATCCCACGGTGTGGGGAGTGGGCCAGGCACCCGGGTTCCTCTGGACCGAGGCTCGTGGGGTGGCGGAGCAGCAATGGGCAGGATTTCTACCCTCCTGCTCCCCTCCACTTTTGCCTGCTTCATTCTTCACCAGTCCCAGCCCCGTGAAAGTCCCCGTCTCATGATCGTGTGCCCACTCCGACCTTGCTCCTTTGTCTCCATTTCCACTGTGCTCTGCTTTCTAGTAGCACCCTCAGTGATCAGATGTATGTAACTAATTTCTTTGTGCACTGTCCTGCACAGATATACAGACTCAGTGGCATAGAAACTAGGTCAGTCTTATCCCTAGTTTAGGCCAGTGTGTTAGAATCAGTATTTAAACCTCATACCATTTACAGTGAAAACGAATAACCACACATCACCCTGCTGGGCAGCTTCCCACACCATCCCTCCCCAGCAGCAGCCACAGAGCCTGCGGTGCCCCCAGATTCACAGTTAAGGCCTCAGCAAGGAAGAATGGTTTGGCCTCCTCTTCCTCCCCAGGATGAGGACCAGAACCAGTCCCCCATGGGGCCACACAGCCTCAGGCTCTGCAGGATGATCACCCACAGCGTCACCCAGACCACTTTCCACCTCCCTGTTATTTTCTCTCCCCTGTCTCTGTCACTGCTACCCTGTTCCAAACTGGACATTTTTGCTGTGCTTTGAATGTGACAGAACATATTTCCTAAATTCACTTATCTTCTCCTTGTACCCCAACTCCAGCACAATGAGGATATGACGACTCCTCCTTGGGACGCAGGCCAACATCCTGCAAGCTGCTTCACGCACACAGAGATACGCACACTCACAGCTGCGGGGCCTGCCCTCTTCTAATTCCACCTACAATTAACCTTGCTGCTCTGCTGGCAACTCTGTGCTTCTGGTCAGATCCTTCCTCAGCTCCGGGGCGTTTGTTTAGTAATATTTGATGTTTAGAGATAGCTCTAGGGCCCCATTAGGGACAACTCTGGATATGTATCATCAAGTATTTCTTTTGTGTTTGAAGTGTTCTCCCCGAAGTGTTAGGGCAGCTTTTCTTCTTTACCCATCTTCTTTTGAGGGATTCAGTCTTCTCCTTGAGAGTCAGGCTCTAGCTCCGAGTTTCGGTTTTGCAGGAGCTCAGGGAGACTCTTTAAACTTGGGAAATTGCCCAGCATGGTGTCCTTCCTGGACGCTCAGCACAGGGACTGACATTCGCCTTCCTCAGCACCCACCACGTGACCCATTCTGAACAAAATGCTTGTGCTGGAGAAGCAAACAAAAAGTACCCCTGAGTCCTCTAGTAACACGTTGCTCACTGCTGTTTCCAAGGGACCAGCGCAACACCGAGCGGTCCACACAGCGGCGTCCAGTGGGTTGCTCATTCCTTGTAATAAAACGCTCACTTTGTTTTCATGCAGGGTGCCACTACGACATTTTCCACTCGGTGGGAGCTCTGTAAATAGAAACTGGTTGAAATTTGGAGTTTCAAGGATTGTAACTTGGGTTATTGGTTTCTTGCAATTGCCTCTGTGAACTGCAGACGCAGCTAACATTGGAGCTCTCCTCTCACCATTCCCTCCCAGCTTCTGCTGTGAGCTGCACAGCAAACCCTCAAGGCAGAAATTATCCTTTTTATGGCTTCAAGTCCATTATTTAAGGCCAATAAATAGTGGTTAATAATGGAGTGGTCTTAAATTACAGGCATGTTTTCAGAGACTAACCTAATAACATTAAGCAGAGGTCAAGAGATATCATTTATTTTGGTCATAGACAGTAAATACCTGAGAGAAGCCTCATATCATGGCTGCTAATGGTTTTGCAAGCAGACTCCTGCTTCTTTAGTGTAGGAAACGGCTCTGAGAAGAGCTCAGTCACCTCAGTAGGGTTGGAACCCACCTTCTGAACACAAACACAGAGGTGCATGCAACATTCTGAATAAGATTTCAGATACTTGGTAGAGACTTTTTCAGACCCATGATGAAATCTAGCTCGCCTTAAGGAAATCAGTGTCACTGTGAACTCTCACAGTTGGAGAAGGAAATTACATCTCACTTTAATAGAATATTAAATCCAAGCTGAGGAAATTAGAGGAGGGGGTAGGTGCCAAACTGGGGCTGACCTTGTGTGCAGTGCTGAGATCGTGCACTCACTGGAGTTGACGAGAAGCCGCTGGAAAGTTGAGAGGACAGCGAAAGGGAGGGGAGGGAAGGGGAAGGATAGGGAGGGCTAGAGGGTGGAGGAGAAGGGAGGAGAGCAGAGGAGAGGGGAGGGGAGGGAAGGGGAACAGAGGGGGAGGGGAGGGGAAGAGAGGAGAGGAGAGGGGAGAGGAGCAGTGAGGAGCAGGGAAGGAGAGGGGAAGAGAGGAGAGGAGACCAGAGGAGAGGAGAGGAGCAGGGAGGGGAGAGGAGGGTGGAGGAAAGGGAGGAGAGGTGAAGAGAGGAGAAGGGAGGAGAGCAGAGGAGAGGTAAGGAAAGGAGAGGAGAGAGGCGTTTTCCGACTGCTTTTCTTTGGAAGCCTTGAATTTAGGGTGCAGAGGGGGCCGCCCTAGACACAGGACCCAGGCACACGGAGATGTGGGACCTGGCAGGGGAGATGACCACTGGGTCAGCCCGGCTGGGGTGTGTTTGTGCCCAACACTCACCCTCTCACATCTCAGGGCTGCGCTTGGATCTGAGAGCCCAAGAGTGGGGAACAAGGTAGGAAGGGCTCTCCCTGTGTCCACTCCAGAAGGCGTGAGAAGCAGGGGGAAGTGACAGCTCATAGAGGAGCAGGACTCGCTGATGCTGTAAAATGCCATCATTTTCTGGTGAGGTAACCAAGCCTTTGGGTACCCTGCCTGGTTTCTGAGTATACTGTCAGGTTGTATGGAATGCCTGCCAAACGCCAGTGCATATCAGAACAACTGCAGGCTGACATTTGTACTCCATGACAATTACATGCAACATTAATGTAAAGAAGATATTTCCATTAGCTTTTCAAGAATTTGCATAAGGCATATACATATCCCAGGAATGAACAGTAAGTCTCTGCATGGGAAGAAGAATGGGGTGGGGGTCCTCATACTCAGTTATGAGTTTGTGTGACCCTGAAGCCAAGAAGAGCTTTCACGACCAATGTGGACACCTCTCTTTTTGGAAGACAGAACAGTTTTATCAGTCCTAGTTTGGAATTCTGGAAAGTGTCATGTAACACAAGCATCAAAGAATTCCTTCGGCATACTTACAGACCTTAAGAATTTTGCATGAAGGCAGAGCTCAGAGCACCGACCAGGGGCCAAGAGGCCACCGTGTTTACCCCATGGCTACTGACCACACTGATGGATCACATTTCCATTATTTTTCTTTCGCAGAATAAAAGTGCTGCTCCTAGGCCAGGGGCATAGCTCAGTGGCACGGTGCCTGCCTGGCATGTGTGAGGCTCTGAGTTCAATTTCTGGTACAGAAAGGAAAAAAAAAAAGGAAAGGAAAGGAAAAGAAAAAAAAAAAAAACACAAGACAAGACAAGACTGCTGCTCTTGGCCATCAGGAGGCCAAAGGAACCAGTATCCACAGTGTGGTGTATTTAACAGTGAACTCTCCAGACAGTGATTTCTATCCAGTAGATATATGTCATATACTATATGAGAAATTAAAAAAAAATTCCAGCCTCTCCACTGAAATAAACTTAAGATACAGATAAAATGGCTTCCAGGGAAGAAGCCAACATCTCAATATATAACCCATGTAAACTTACTGAGGCAGCGCACGCCCCTAACACGCTGAGCTTTCTGTGTCTGGCGTGCATTTCACATTACAGTGCATCTCGGGCTGGACACAGCATCTTTCCAGTGTGGTCACTGCTCGGGTCAGCTCCCAGCGCCATCACTGGGGGTCACACTGGGCAGTCCTGGCCCCTCTGTCACTCAGCTTCCCATATATGGGTGTAATAATGGAAGTAATGACAATGTGCCTACCAGGGGTTGTCAGAATGAAATGGTACCTGGTAAGAACTAAATAAATGTCAACTGCTTTTCATCCCAGGCTTCACCGTGGCGACGATGGCTCTGGAGTCACCATCGGCTGCTCTGCACTGCCATCATCTCCTCTCACGGAGCAGGCTCTGTGATTCACATTCCAGTCCAGAGGCAGGTCAGGTGCGTTCCAGGATGTGTGTGGGGCCAGCCTATGAGGGGCAGGGGCTCAGCTCCTGTGTGCACGTGCACAAAGGCACAACTCAAGCTCTAGGCAGAGATGGCTGGCGTGGGGTCTTAGGCACTTTCCTCTCGCCAGGACACAATACTTGACACCCATGACGTAAAGGAGGGGCTCACTTTGGTTCATGTTTTCAGTCCACGGGCACCAGCTCCAAGGCAAGACAGAGGGACCTGGTGAAGGAGAACTGCCATGGAGCCTGGGAAGCAGAGAGAGATCAAGGTGCCAGGAGAGCGGACAAGGCTTTCCAAGCCCCATGACCTGCTCTCTTCTTCTGACCAGACCCCTCCAATACTACATTTATAAACTCACTGGCAGCCTGATCCAGTGATCAGATAGCACTTCCATGGCCCAGTCACTCTCTAAGGCCCCAGCTGTGCAACAGACAGCTTCGGGGGAATCCAGATGTGAACCCTAACACACAATGTAGGTGAACTCTTCAGGCCTGAGCTGCATCCTCTATGATCCAGTCCAGAGCCCACCCTGGTGCAGAGCACTGGCAGAAATCAGAGAATCCCACTGAATTCCATGGTAGAGGACGTCAGGCTTGGTGGACAAATGAATGTCAAGGACCTCACTCTAGACAGACGAGCTACCACATGGGAACATTAAGGTCATCTTCCGGTTTCCTGGTTCCAAGCCTAGGCAGGCTTGTCTAGGACTGCCCAGAAACTCAGTGAATCCGTCCTCCTGTCTACATGGAATGGACACAGCCAAAAAAGGAAATGAGGGTTGGGGATACAGCTCAGTGGCACAGCACCTGCCAGGCAAGTATGAGGTCATGAGTTTGATTCCCAGTACAGAACATAAAATGGAAGATAATTATGCAGTTTCAGAAACTGCACATGGAAAATTGATTTTCGAGGTGTTAATGAATAATTTTTCTCCTTGCATTTTCCTCATTCAAGAGGTATCTAAAGTTTTTGCTCCTCCAACTTGAAGGAGGTTTTCTGAAAAAGAACAATTAATTTCAATTTACTGCACTAGAGCTTATGTCCCAGAACCTAGGCTGCTGAGATTTTGCTGGTCACCTGGAGAGAGCCCCAGTGGCTCTGGTTCTGGACAGAATTGAGTCTTAGGGGGCACTGGGGAGCCATTGTGGGCCCTGTGAGAGGACCTGGGTGTGCTCCTTACAGTGGAATTTAATTCTGCAGTCTCTACCTCTTGTACTGTGTCCAGCCTGGGAAGGATGTGTCCCTCCCAGATTGCTGGCCTGGGGCATCCCTGCCTGTGAGCTGTTGCAGGAATTGTGCCCTTCTAGACAGATCCAGAGGAAAATGTGAAGACACAGAAAGATAGAGGCTTCGCCAGACTGAAGAGGAGGAACTCCCGGAGACAGAGGACAGCAAAGGTCCACTCCACCTGCAGATCACACTCCACAGACTGGCAGACTGGCCAGACAGGCTGCGAGGGTGTGGCTGTGTGCTCCAGCCCAGAGCATGGCAGTTCAAGGCTGGGGTGAACTGGAGCTCACATGCTGGGAATGGGGTCTCCAGGTCTCGGTGTGCATGGTAACCATGACTCAGTTCTTCATGCCGAAGTGATGAACATAATTTCCTTGTTGGACTGAGGAGGTGTGTTGGAAAAGTTTAGTTGATTTGAATCACATATTGTGATATTCCCAGCTTATAGGGACTTGTAAAGTGATACCTATGTCTATGATCCTTATATGATCTCGTTTTATTCTGACAATGATACAGGAAAGTGGGGTGGGGGTCTACAGTTGAATACTCATGTTTAATAACCAAGAAAAGGGAACTTCCGGGAGAACATGGTGGACAGATAGCAGCAGCTATGGAGGCTCTCTGAAAGACCCATCTTAGAATCCAGGAATGGTGTGGAGTGAGGAATCCTAAGCAAGAGGAGATATACCCTGCTGACCCAAAAATGAACTGGGCTGAGAGAAACCAACTGGGAAAGCAATCCTGGTGCTATAACAGGAACAGAAAAGCCTCAGCGTGGAAGCTGGAGCCCATGCCATTGGAAGCTGCGATTTGGGTTTCCCACCACCGCTGCTGCGTCTACATCAGCTTGGCAGGGAGAGAGACGAGCGAAAGCTCTGAGAACGGGAATCGGTGAACGGAGTTGAAAGCAGGACGGGCAGGGAGCTGTGCATTGACCTGCAGTGGGTGAGAGAAACTGGGACTCTTCCACGGTCTAGGAGACTCCAACAGAGGACATTCTGGGACCGAGCAGACTTGCGGGAACAGGGCGCTGCAGTGACTTCAGTCACGTATCCCCCTCTCAAGCAGGATTGGTGAGCAGTGCCTAGCCTACGTGACGCCGCTGGCTGAGACCCAGTAGGCTAGCACAACCCAGATCCCAGCGCCTGAAGGTGACCTGGAGGCCCCGCATAGGCTGCCTGGTCTGCAACTCCCTGGTGCACTGCAGTGGGCCGGAACACCTAGCCGGCACAATTCAATCAGACTGTGGCAGACAGGGAAGGAAGCTGGGCCTCCTATATACGCTTGCATATATAAGGAATAAAGAATATGGGAAGAGGCAGCAACAAGAAAAGGTACTCGGCCTCCAATCCTGAGAAAGAGACAACAGCAGACACAGTACCAATAGATATAAAGGGCTTTCTCCAGAGCCTCATAGACAAGTTCAGGAATGAAATTATTAATGACCTGAAGCTAGACATAAGCAGAATAGTTAGAGAAATGCTAAGCACCTCCCAAGAAAAAACAGATGGTGGAATGGAAGAACAGAAAAAGAGGGGAGAATTGTTTGATGGAGAAAATAGAGAAAGCATAGAATACGTGAAGCAGGTTCAAAGAGATTACCAGGAAACTAAGAACTTTATCGAAAACTGGCATAACAGCTTGAAAGAAACTAAGGACAGATTATCTGAACTGGAGGGCAGAGTTGTAATATGGGAGCATGAAATGAAAAACTTCTTAAAAATAACAAAGAAACAAACAGCAATAATACAAAGACTAGAGGATGATAAGAGGACCTATAACTTAAGAATTAAGAACATAAAAGAAAAAGTAGGGACACAAACAAACTACAAAAGCTACTTACAGAAATAATCCAGGAGAATTTTCCTAATTTAGCAAAAGGTAAAGATACTCAGTTGTATGAAGCATACAGGACTCCAGCCACCTACAACCCAAACAGAGCAACACCCAGGCATATAATAATTAAAATTCCAGAAATCCAATACAAGAACAGAATATTAAAAGCCATCAGAGACAAGAAACAGATCACTTACAAGGGAACACCCATCAGAATTACAGCAGATTTCTCGGCACAAACCATCAAATCATGAAGAGCGTGGGGGGAAATAATTCAAGCTTTGAAAGATAATAATCTCCAGCCAAGATTGATATATCCTGCACAACTATCCCTGGAAATTGATGGAAAAACAAGGTGCTTCCAGGATAAAGAGGAACTAGGAGAATATGCAACCACCAATTCAACTCTACAGAGAATACTGTAGGATATTCTAAAAAAGAAAAATATGAAGAATCCAGAAATAGTGGCAGAGAGGCCACAATGAATGGAGCAGAAAACAAAATGAAGAAGACAAACTGACAACTAATGACAGCAAAAGAGCTCAACAGAAATGAGGCAGAAAAGATTGGATCATAGGAACAGCTATTTTGGAGAAAATGTCTTAATAGGTAATTCTGATTTAGTATCATCTTGTTTTGAAGTCTCATCAAGCTTTTGTTCTTCTGTCTCCATTGGTCTAAACAGGTTGTATCTTATTGGATTTTATTATATATGATAGTATAAGCAAAACCTTTTATAGACAAGGAGATTATACAGAAACATTGTTCATTTTCTGTTAGTTGATTCTAAATACCCTGTAATACTGTCATTCTCTTAAATGGTTTTACATTGTTTTGATATATTTGATGCTACAGTATACGAAGTTATACTCAAAGATTTCAAGGAAAGAGACAATATGGTAACTACTTTTATGTCGGGATTATCTTGTGGTGAAACACTATTTTGCTTAAATGGTTATGTTTTGAGCTGCACTGTTTTGCTTTTATGCCCTCTTTTATCTCAATCTCCATTTTATTATTTGCTTTTTTATTTTTATCCTTTTAATTAAGGGAAAAATAAATAAAAAATAGCAGGATATATTATAGTAATCCACTTTGACTTTACATTATTTTGATTTAAAGCCCTGTATAGCTCTCACCATCTTGTTTTGACTGATGTCCCTCTATTCTGTTTTGCTTGATAGTACCAGGTTCGAAAGTTTAGGCAACAGCTGTGAAGATAGTCGGATTCATTATGACGCCCATTCCGGTTGACTATTATCTACTTTTGAAGACCTATAATGTCTGCAATGTTTTGGTTTTGTCGGTTTTATTCTTTACTGTTTTGTTCAATTTTATTATAACTGATGATATAGGCAATTCTATTAGAGATAGCGGGAGGCATTAGGGTAACCATTGTTGATCACCTTGTATTATGCTTTTACATTATCTATGATGTCCACCCTTTTGTTGACTGACTCTGTTCTGTTATGTCACATTTGGTTCTACTCTCTTCCAAAACAGTAATAAGAACTGTGGGAGCAACAAAACCCAAAATGTGTAATTGTCATTGTACAAAAGAGAGGAAAAGAAAGTGCTCTAAACAATATAACTGCATGTATATTTAAGTGTATAAGATAGATAATGATATTACTGAGTTTTGTTGGATCATTGAACAGAACTGTTTGCAGTCTCACTGTTGGAATGTCCACTTTATAAGCTTTAATTTTGTAACTTGAACAACTATTTCTAAGATGACAATATGTAATATATTAACTAGTGATTTCTTACTGTTTATTTTTTTCTGTAAATCTGTATAACTTGTACCCTTTCTCTGCTTTTTTTCTTTTTCTCCTTAAATAAAATTAAAAAAAAAAAAAACCGAGAAAGGGACTCCAGAGAAGTTAAGCGAGTTCAGTGCAGAGACCAGAGCTGGGGAGCTGCTCCTGCAGGCAGGTGGTTGAGGAGAGAATGCCTGCTGCACACGCCCCGTCTGTACTCTGACCCTTCCCTATGACACAGTTGAGCATCCCCCTGTTTGCCTTCATGGTAGGCAGAATTCCAAGGTGGCCCCCAAGATCTGGCACCCACCCCACCTGCCTGCATGGTACTCGTCCCATATGGCCCTCAGGACTGAACGGGAGGGGTTTCGCTTGTGCCATGGAGCTGCAGAGCCCCGCTATGAGAGGCAGGCCGATTTTGCCCAGGCAATGTCCGCTGGGCTGAGCGAGGCCCCGGCTGACATCCAGCCAGGAAGCAGAACTTCAGGTCTACAACCCCACAACCTCAGTCCACCAGCAGCTGGCTTGGAAGAGGACCCTGAGCTCCTGGTGTGAGCACAACCTGCTGACCGTGGTTCTACCATGTGGGACACTGAGCAGAAAGCTCTGCATGTTCACAGAAAATCGTGTGGTTTCAAATAAATACTGTAAGGAAATGTTTCTTGGTGCCAATATGGCTTTTAGGTTTGAAAACAATAAAACACCCTGAAAGGTTTCAAGCAAAATAAATGTTTACTATTTGAATGGTAATGCTGAGAACCAGAATGCGCGTGCATTCA